ACCAAATCTTTAGAAAGGAAAGAGCCAATGTTCACTCTTCTATCTGGGTTCTCCTCACCTAAGACTACTGGGGTGAGCTCCTCGATTGGTTCTCTTCTTTTCATGGTGGCGTCGTCCTTTGGGTCAAGGACCTCCACTTGTAGGGCTTCTTCTGGCTTCCTTGTCTTTTGCTTGTAAAGAAAGGGATACCAATAGGAGTTGACAAAACAATCTTGCAACGTCATCAAAATCTGTTAGAGTTGTACCAACCACTGCATGTCTCAGTTTACTCTTTATCAACATTGAATTCAATATGTTGTCTTTTTTGAACTAGTATTTGACAAATGATGTTTTTTTTACCATGGTTGGTTGCCTTAATTTGCTCACGTCCATTGTGTATTCCAAATATAAGTTTCACATCACTTCTATGCAATCTCAATTCTTCTCCTCTAATTTGAAATCTACAGGATTTTTCATCGAAATATAATATCACTTTTAATACTTCATTATATGTTTTCCTACACCATTCTTTGTCTACCTTCTTATCTATTATTTTTGCAAACAATAACCACAAAGGTGTCTTCTGCAGGGCACGCTTGTGCTCGTCTCTAAACTCAACATCATCCATTGCCCTAACAATGACTTGCATGTTTGACTATTCACACTTCTTTTCTTTCTTTGTTCTCTTTATCTCTACTACAAAGGAAAAAAAAAACATAAATTTTTACTGTGTACCTGAATGACATCTCCACTATGAAGAACAAACCAGCCTTTTCTCCTTCTCATAGTGAAAAATTCTTTTCCAAAAATGTTTCAACGATCTCGCCCATAGTTCTTCTTCACAGTGGAACCCTTGTTCCCCAACGATTTATGCTCTGTGTTATTCACAGTTGATGCCAACTTTTAGACTTCTTCACTGTGAAACCCTAAAAAAAAAATCAAATTTGTAATGAGAATGTTGAGACAATGGTGGTTTTGCAAAAGTTATGTCATTCACGTTTGAATTTCAAAAAGTCTAGCGATAATGGTGGAAGCTTGCGTAATTGGTGTCTCTTCCCTTTCCTTTTAGAGGTGTCTTCAGATGTTTAGGAAACCGTTCAACTTCAACAAAAGGGGTATTTTAGACTTTCGTTATAGTATGTGGACTTTTTTACTGATATTTTTAAAATTGATACTTTTTAACTAATATTTCTAATAATATGTACCGGTCTCCTTGATTCCCTTATTTGTTAGGAAAAATAGGGGCCGGCACACAAAATACATATGTAGGGTTGGGTCATTGTGGGCATTATAATGTGACATCAATATCCACTGTATATACACAACATATACAGATTTTGACAAATGAAAAGTATCATAGCGTAAGTCAAGGATCGGCACACTGTGGACATCACAATGTTGTATCAATGTCACACTACATATAGACACCATATACCTGGTTTGCACATGGATGGTATCACATTGTGACTTCAATGTAACAGTTCAAATACACATCATATAAATATTCAAAACCATAGGCAAAGGAGACTAAAGATGGAAGAAAGGACGAGTTTGAGAGAGAAAATAGAGAAAGAGTGAGAAAAATTAGAGAGAGAAAATAAAGAGAGAGAGATAGCAACAACAAGAATCAGATCAAGAGAGAGAATAGGAAATCTTTTTAAAAACTAATGGAATCCTTTCAAAAATCAAATAGTTAATTATCCTTTAATTTAGGAAACCACTTAACTAGTAAAATAGAATCAAAAAAATAAAGAAATGGCTAATAAGACTAAGAGTATTGTTTTCAAAATTTTAGTTGTTGAATAAAAGAGGAAGATTTAGTTCAAAATTCAAACGTGTTGTTCCACAAAAATAGAAATTGAATCTCACAATTAACTGGAAAATTTTTTTTACATAAATTAAATATTTAAAAAATAGCCAAAGTGTATCTATTCACAAAATATTTACACAAAAAAGACTTATACACAAAAAAATTATATTAAGATACTTTCTCACAAATAAGTAGTGTATAGTATACCTTTTCATAATTTTCCCTAAGAACCACAATTTCATCTACAATAAAACAAACACTACTGTTTTTCAATTCTTGATCATCACAAAAATGACATTTTCAAGACGATGCCAAATAGAACTCAAACAAAAATAAGGATGATATCAAATACTAATTTCTTTCTACGATTATTGTACCAAGAGAATGGCTAATGTGCTACATACTAACATTGCACAATCCAACCATTTCAATTCCCAAGTGGCTGAGTAATCAACTTTTATTCTGCTAACACAAGCGTTTTTCACAAAACAATTAAAACCACAGAGAGGGGAAGGAACAACAAACAAGAATAATCCCACCCTCAAATTTCACCTTCTCTTTTGAAGGTCTAATTGGTGCTTCCAAGAAATGGATAATCAGTGTAGCCAATAACAGGATCAATAACAGGATCAAGTAGGTAAAATGTCTCTCTATCGTACTTGTTCAGAGGAGCATTTAGCTCGAATCTCTTTGGCAAATCTGGGTTGGCCAAGAACAAACGACCATAAACAACAAGATCTGCACGGTTTTCAGCCACAGCTTTGATACCATCTTCCCTATTATAGCCCCCTGCGACAAGGAAAGTGCCATTAAATGCCTTTCTCATGGGCAGAAGACTGTGGGGGCTGTCGCTTTTTTCTCCAACAGTTACCATCCTTGGCTCAACCATGTGGCAGTAGAGAATACCATATTTATTCAATGATTCAGCCATATAAAGACCCAGGGCTTTAGGATTTGAATCTCCTGATTCACTGTAATTTGCAAAAGGAGAGAGCCTAATGCCAACTTTATCTGCTCCTATCTCATTACTGATAGCTTCAACAATTTCTAGAGCAAACCGACAACGGTTCTCCAGAGACCCTCCATACTCGTCAGTTCTGTCATTGACTTGATCTTTCATAAACTGGTCTATTAGGTAACCATGAGCCCCGTGGATTTCAACCCCATCAAAGCCTATAAATCAAACATAAAATATCAACTCATAAAACAAATGTCTTCCAATATGTATACAACATACACATATAAATGCTAGTGTGCCAAATAAATGAAGTAAAGAATGTAAAGCTCTGCTTGGTCTTTGTGAGAGAGGCATCGAGGTCACATTTTGATGAATATCAAGACCATGAAATATGTAAAATATTATTGTGGATGAAGAACTATAATCTTCTCCAAACAGGCAAGCATATTTGTCCTTTTCCTAGGGAGATTTTGAAGGAAGTTTCCTAGGCTTTATAGATACTAGGACAACAACATTAAAATCATTCTAATAACACATTTTACCCTTATTTACTAGTCTTATTCAAACTAATAGTCTCTATGTTTACTTTCGGAAGAGTAAAATTTGTCCTACAAAAAATTCATTATCCAGTTTATTTTCCGTTGTCGAGGGTCCATTGAGTACAAATTTAGCATTTGGCATTATAGCACAAGCTGGCTGCACTGAGATTTGTTAGTTTTGAGGATCTTATCATTGCCATGGGCAGTGACCAATTACAAAAATAAACAAAAAATTGGCAAATTTCAAATAATATGGCTCCTCTCCTTTACATGATGTTTTTCTCTTTCATCACCGTTACTTTGTCATCAAAAGGTTTCCTCCTTTTTTTTCTGTGGGCACAATAAAGCCCATGAATGATGTTAAAACATAATGCTTAAGAAATGAAAAATAATTTAATCTAAAAATCACATCACACAGTCATTATTTTCTTTGATTTCCTCTCGGAGATGATAGATTTGTGACTTCTAACCTATGCAATAGAATCACTGAGAATACAACCAATGGAAATGTACCCCTTAATATTTTCGGATTGATCATGGCCAATCTATAAATCATTTTTTTTTTCATTCAAAGGACCATTAAACAAATTCGAATTCAAACTTGTCAAATTACATATAAATAAATTTCGCCAATTAATCAAAAAATCTACGATTTCAACTCAATTACATCACATTCGTACATCTAAACTTCAATTCAATTTCATCGCATAATTATCAATTCAAAAACAATATCATCAAATAATCCAACAAGTTTATTTCAATTCACGTCCAATTTCATCAAATACCATTTTGGGTAGATTCTAATAAAATAACCTAATACACCAGCTACCTCCATAATTGTCAGACAATCAAATCATTAAAAACAGGTGACTCAACAATGGACATTAAGACCTAGGAAGGATGGACACGGACAAGGGTGTCATATCCAATACGATAAAAACACAAGGATATGACAAAGTTTCAAAATATAGGATACGGGTACGGCAATGATACGGTTAATTAAAATAATATTATATATATTTTTATATAAATAATATTAATAATGAGACCTAAAAATCATTGAGTAGTTGGTTAATATCTTACAATAATTAAGTAATGGACTAATATATTAGAATTAGGCAGTGGGTTTAACAATAAGTGGGCTGTGAATTAATTTATTTAACAAATAATAAATAAGTTATACAATATTAATAAACAACGCATCTGTTCAATTGAGAGAAAGAGAAAGAGAAAAGAAAAAGAAAAATGTGTCCAGCTAGGGCACCAACATAGAAACAGCCGAAGAATAGAAACAGTCGGAGAGAGGAAGAAAAAGAAGGAAAGAAGCAAATCCGAAGCTACGGTATGTCCCTCCGTCTCTTCTTCTCTCTCTATTGACGATCAGTTCTTCTTCTTTTTTTTTTTTTTCTTTTTCTAGACCCTTATTCTCGTATCCCTCCCTTATCTTTCCCTATCCCCCCATATCCAAATTTTCTTTTTCATTTCCTGTTTAGGACATTTCTAGAAGTGTCAGACACTTGTCCGACTGTGTCCCACGCGTACTCGTGTCGGACACGTGTTTGACACTGCTACGTCAACCCTNAGACCCTTATTCTCGTATCCCTCCCTTATCTTTCCCTATCCCCCCATATCCAAATTTTCTTTTTCATTTCCTGTTTAGGACATTTCTAGAAGTGTCAGACACTTGTCCGACTGTGTCCCACGCGTACTCGTGTCGGACACGTGTTTGACACTGCTACGTCAACCCTTGTCGAAGTATCCGTGGTTCCCATATTGAGACGCATCAGTCACTAGATGCTAAATTGAAGAACAAGGGGACGACGACAGGGTATATAGCCCATATCACGATGTTGCGGAATAATATTGCGATATTTTGGAATTATAACTCGGATAATTTGGCCGAGTTGTCCGAGATGTTTCCAAGTCAACCTCAAATTGAGTGCCTTGTGCTTTACACAGAACATTCATCAGAATCGAGTCAAACACGACTCGGTCGAGTTGTTTTGCTTTGAATCATGCACCATAGGCAATACTTGCTTCACTAGAGACTAAAATACAGTTGGCATNCTCAAATTGAGTGCCTTGTGCTTTACACAGAACATTCATCAGAATCGAGTCAAACAGGACTCGGTCGAGTTGTTTTGCTTTGAATCATGCACCATAGGCAATACTTGCTTCACTAGAGACTAAAATACAGTTGGCATCAAATCTAAACTGCATCAAGCTAATATAAACTTGACCCATAGTTCGATTACTTATGATCTCAATCATTCAACATGGGTCTCTTTAAATCTCGTTCAAAAGTTTCTCTCTCTCTCTCTCTCTCTCTCTCTCTCTCTCTCTCTTATATATATATATATATATATCCTTTAGAAGTTGCTGATGGACACCATTTACCTTGCCTAGTTTCAAGAGGAGCTAAACATTTTGTCAAGAACTGAAATTTAGATTGAAAAGCTTACCAGCTTCCATAGCATTCCTTGCAGCAATTCTAAAATCATTGACAACTCCAGGAATTTCATGGGTACTTAATCGTCGTGGAGGTGAAAATTCTGCAACATCAAAACCACTGGCTCGATCTTGGGGTGTTAATGGCTTGTCTGTGCAAGAGATAGGAGGCTGTCCATTTGGCTGAAAACCTGCACGGTGCCATCGGATAAATAGGTTTAGAACAGATGCAAATGTGATATAGTTCTCAAAATTCAATACAGTAGGCTGGATTACGGTTAAAGATAGTAAGAAATTATTAGAGTTAGCGAAAAAAAGTTACCACATGGGTGAAACAGATTTATCCCAAACATTGAGAAAAAGTTCAGTTGTTAAAATCTCATACAAAGACCCTCCACTTTTTGAAAAATCAGAAGAAAGTCATGTAAAATGACCTTTCACATGCATGGCACATATCACTTTGTTTTTTTTTTTTTCATGTCTCACTAACTCGTAATTGTCACCTCAAAATTCCTGATTCCAGATGGCAGATTTTTGCAACACAGATCCCTTTTTTAATAGGCATTGAATCACTTGAAAAACTTGGAGTCATAAAATTGTATGGTGTTCAGTTATTAATCAACCAGTGATCAAGTAGACAGCAAAATGAAGGTAATAGGTCAAGAATGTACCTTGATTAGAAACTCTCCCTACATGCCAAATCTGACAAAAGAAGATTCCACCTTTGGCATGAACAACATCTACAATGGGTTTCCAAGCTTCAACTTGTTCTTTTGTCCATATACCGGGTGTTTGCGGATACCTTTATTTAATTCAAAATCTTAAGTGCCCATGAAACTATGAAGATACAAAAGTCTATTCTCAAGTGTATATATATCGTCCAGCAAATCAAACCAATACAAGCAGAGGTATTTTATAATTACCCTTGAGCTGTGTCAGAAACACCAGTGGCTTCCGCTATGAGAAGCCCTCCTTTGGTGGTTCTCTGGGAGTAATATAGGATAGCATGTGGCTGTGGAACATTGTTGTAAGATCTCTGCCTCGTGAGTGGGGCCAAAACAATTCTGTCAGATATTGAAGAGAACAAATAAGTTCACAACATAATCTTCAAAGTTTCCCACCCAACTGGAGTACTAAAGCAGCAGAACTAAGCATCGATTGCTCATTGGAAGTCTAAATAATTACTTCCACCAACTACACTACCAAGGTATGGTTGAAAAAAGAATACTAAATAGAAATGTAATCAAAATAAGGAAGAAAAACACTGAAACAAAAAATACAAACCACAAGATTAGCAACTATTGCTTATATATACTTGGGCAAGTCAACGATACGTCATTCTCTAGTATGAAAATGCATGCACCCATATATGGAACCATGTGTAGGCCAAGAAGGGGGAGAGGGCGGGGGGGCATGGCCCCCTCATTTGTTCAAAAATCTCTGCAACCCCTTTAGGCTTTCATAAAACTATATTTTTCCTCTTAGGTTTTCAAAAACACTATCTATATTGTATTTCACTCAATATGTTAAAAAGCTTAATGTGGTGGCATTTAATTACCAAATAGGGATGCAATCGCATGGATCAATATTACTCTTATAGGCAAATGCACTTGCTTGAATGAGTTTGATGATCAAAGGAAAAAAAACAAGTGAAATTACTACACAATCGGGATAAAAACGTGGCTTATATTAAAAGAGTAATGCTAGACCGACCAAAAAACAAGCTCAAATTAAGTAGCAAAATGATGTGACACTAATGAGACGGTGCTAACTAAGCTAGATATTTAGACTAAAATTTAAGTGCATTAAATCAAAATTTAAAACAAAAGTTCAAAATTTAAAATGAGCTTAAAATTTGGTCCAAGAATTATGCCGTAAAAACAAAATTTTTGTTGAATAGGTAAGAATCATTTTATGGATTTTATTTTGTATAGGTAAAAATCATTTTTAGGGTAACATGATCTTATGAAAATTAATTTAGAAAGGTTTTACACAAATAAATATATGTCTACAACAATAACTTGTTGAATATCCCGTTCAATAAAATTTGTTCACTATATCATTATTTGGCCTCGCTCAGGATAAAGTCATGGTTCCATCACTGCATGCACCACTGAGCACAAACAATCAACTGCTCTTAACAACTGCCAATGACTACTTGTGAGATCAATGATGAAAAAACAGAAAAAACATTCAACAATTTATCAGTCTTACAATAGCATATGTTGTAAATGCCAAAAATTACCATATAACAGTTTCATAGACTTTCAGTGAAGCTATCCTATTCGTGAACAATAAACTCTTGTAGTTTTTGTCTCTTTCGATCAACATCTGCAACTTAGGAAATACTAGAAATGCAACACGTGCATTGCACGTAAATAATTTTCTTATACTAAATATAAATAATATATGTGTACATACATTAAATATGATCTTAAGTTTATCAAAGTTATATTTTTATCACTCATATTATACTAGAAAATTTAAAAAATTTTGTCTATTTTCAATGATTCGTTGGTCTAATTATAAGAAAAAAGATAAAAATAATTGATTTCAAATTCATTTGATTACGTTTTAACTTATAATTTATTGAATAAAATAACAACAATTGTCAATATTATAATCAATGCTTACTATAATTAGGAATTAGTTAGGTCAATAAGGATAAAATATAGAGTCAATAACACTTTATGTCTCTAAAGTATGCTTTTTTTTTATCAATTTCGTCCTCAATATATGAATTTTGTCAATTTGGTCTATAAAATATTCAATATACTTATGTGTTTAACTCTTCAAATTACCCGTAACATCTCTTCTAAGGTACTTTTATTAGTAGTATTAATATTAATTATTAGTAGTATAAATGGAAAGAAAAACATATATATAGACATAAAATTATTTTTTTATTTGAAAAGAGCAATGATATATTGACAGACTTTTTGAACACGTTTTTGAAAATTATAATGATGTATATATTTTTTTAAGGTTTGTGTAGTCAATTAAATTTTTTCATAGATATTGATTTATACAAAGATAATAGAGAATTAAATGAGAAGTTAGAGCGTAATTTGAAGATTTAAATACATAAAATTGTGATTGTAATTTAAATATTTAACTATAAAAAGATAAAATGGTATTTAAAATTCTTTATAAGGGTAAAATAGTGAATCAAAAGTTTTTCACATAAGGTACTTTTATTAGTAGTGTAGATAAAGGGGAGTGCATACTCATACTGCACACACGCACACGCACAAACAGAGAGAAGGAGCAGGGGTAGGACAGAGTGGTAGTAATGTTGTAACATACTCATCATTTAGATGTTCACTGATATGTTCTTTGAAGAATGATGTTTGAGAAAATGGATCATATGTGCTGACAAATCCATAAAGAACCCCCATATTTTTGAAACTAAAAATGGATAAAGAAAATGAAATGATCAAACATTGAGAAAAAGCAAGCCACAAGTAGAGAAAAGTAATATAAGTTACATTCATCTCAAAATTTGGGAAGAATGCCTATTACTTAGATGCAGCCTTCCCACCTTATGTTGCTTATCATAGACAATTAATCATCCCAAAATCTATATATAAACTATAAAAAATTGTATGTAATTTAGTAAGTCTAATTAATATTAGCAGTGTCTTCTGTTCTTTTGCAATGGTAAACACACGGCATTTGCTATTACATAGATGGAGACTAAAAAATGGGTAGCAAAGGTTGAAAGCAAGAACTTCAATATAGATATTCATCCGATCACTCTTTTCCGCCCAATCTTCCAACAACTTCATTTTATGCTGTTATAGTATCTATTTAAATCTTTTTACGCACTGACACAGAGTAAACAAACAACATGAGCAACTGCATAGATTAAGGACAGGACAATGAATTGGAAAAAAATGGAGAAACCAAGTACCTCTTGGTCTCTGACATGAGCATTTTCAAGTGTTAAATTAAATGGTCAGTATCTGCTAGTGTAATTAATATTGCAATATGGAATGGAAAACATAAAATGGCATTTGATAATCATAAACTAAAAAACAAATGGTATTATTGTTAAAAGTCTTAAGGTCACGTAGTCTTTTAAAGGTCAAATCTAGAAGTTTTAAGTTCACAAATACAATAACACCACAAAATGTGATAGTATGGAGTGCACAAATAGCAAGATTAAAATCTAAATGAAGCCAGAGATTTTTTGAGGATATTGTTTCGAGAATGTCTTTACACACTGACACATATTGGCAGTACACACTTGTTAACAGAATTATACTTACAAAAGAAACTGAAGAAGAGGGGTCAATGTGTCAGGTTTTAGATATTAATTGAATAATCCACTAAAAACTCGGAGAATTTTCATTAAATTTTTTTGCTTTCCTCAAATCAATGAGATCCAAACATACATTCACATCTTCAAGAATAATTGAGTTTCTATGGAATTTGATTTTAATATCATTTAATAAAACAGGAATTATTGAATTAGGCTCAAATTAGTGGACATATATACCTATCTGTCTAATACAATCAAATTGTTAGGAGAGAGTCTAACAAGCCTTCCTTTCCCAATTCCTTGATTCTCATAGTTCTAATTACCTAAACTTAAAACCAAAAAAAAAACACAGTTTCATCCAATCAAAAACCACTCTCTTCAACTTTCCACTCCCTCTTCTGTTTTAATTTCTCTCATTCCTCTACTATTCTCTCTTAACACTAGTAGACATTATACTAATTGGGAGGATGGAAACATAGAGGAGGGACAAAATCCCGCAAACCGCAAAGGTCGGCCACTAGTGTTTGTATATATATATAATCAGATTAGGGGGAGAGGGCTTGGGAAGGCCTTCCTCCCCGTTTGCTTGATTATCCTCTCTGTCACTTCTTAAATTAAGAAACAAATTTCCTTCCAATCAAATTCTTTCACATTGGGCACATAATAACCACTCAGTCCTCCAACTTTCACTCCCTCTTCTCTTTCAAATCCTCACCTTACTCTCCTCTTCCCTCTTTACCACTACTGGACAATATAAACGGTTTTTTTCCCCTGAGCATCTCATTAGTTTTTATACAAACTAGAAAACACAACAAATCAAAGAAATTCACGTGGGGGTTTTCCTCAAACAATTTCCCTCTGCTAAAATCACCAAAACAGAGAACATAGAGCATTCGCCAGTGACTTAAATTTTGTTCATGAAATAACAAATCAACTGAACTGGTGAAATTCAAAAAGAAGAGATACCTATGGCAAAGTTGGAAGTTTCCCATTTTGTATGGAGTGAGAAGAGGGATGTGGTGGGTGTGCACTTCATCTTGAGCTTCTTCTTTCCTCTCCATTACTCGGTCTGTGTCTCTTCTGTACTAACTGAAAATAGGCGAATGAATGAATAATCGATACATCACAAACGGTGGGCAGATCATGTACGATGCCAAATGCATCATGCTTTCTTGGACGAATTGTGCTTTGCATCTTATAAGATTTTTTTTTTAAAAAAAAAATTATATTATATTATTAATATATTAAAATATTATAATGTGATCTTTTAGTTAATTTTTTATTAATTATTTTATTAGTGTTAATAGTTAGTTTTAGATTTAAAAAAAAATAACGTAAATTAATCTTTAAAAATATAATACAAAAAATTTTAATATTTGAAAATATAAAATAAAATTTTTAAAATCTTTTAGAATACAAAACATAAAAAAAAAAACCTTTTTTCCTTCTCTTTTTGTTTTCTTTTTTGGGATCAATGTTTGTTTAAATTACTTTTTACTAACATTTTTCTCTCGAGAATTATTTATAATGATACACAAAATTAGTTTACACACCACCTGTAAATTAAATAATATAAAATGTAGTAAGGTATAGAGGGAGAATACCAAGTTTATAGTTGTTCAGTTAAGGTGACCTACATCCACTTAAAATGACAAGGGTCGTGAGGAATTTATTAACTCTGGTGCAATGAGAAAGCAGAAGATTACAAGCTTTAAGAGAGAATGAGAGAATTGTGCTCAAAATGAGTGAGATGTCCCCCAAGTGTTGGTGGGGCTTACAATTTATAATGACTTAATGTAG